CCCGCTGGCTTTCAACCGCAATCCTCAGATCTCAGCCTCTTGAGTAGCTAGGATTACAGGTGTGAGCCACCAGTGCCCGGCTAGATTTTGGATTCTAGGCTTTATCCTTGTTGATCAAAGTACCTAATTACCTTCCTTCTTCCATTCCTTCCTGGTATATATGTGTGCACGTCTGCACTGGGGCCTGGGTACTGGCTCTTAGTCCCTTTTTTTTCTTTTTTTTTCCTTTCGTTCTAATCCTACAGTTTTAACTTGCAGTCGGGTTGTTTTTTTTAATTTTTCTCTGAAGACTGGCCTTGTCCCAGCTCCACTTCCAGCTTTTTTTTTTTTTTTTTCTTCTGTCATAGGACTTGAACTTAGGGGCCTGGGCACTGTCTCTGAGCTTTTCACTCAAGGCTAGCACTCTACCACTTTGAGTCACAGCTCCACTTCTGATTTTCTAGTGATTACTTGGAGATAAGAGATTCCCAGACTTTGCTGCCGGGGTTGGCTTTGAACCATGATCCTTAGATCTCAGCCTCCAGAGTAACTTGTATACAGGTGTGATCCACTAGCGCTTGGCTATTCTAATTTTGCTCTATATTTTCTTTGTAGGTAATCTCATATTCATCACTCAAATTGCTATGTGTTCACAAGTGACTCAAATTTATTTCTCTAACCAGACCTCTGTTTTCCAGACCCTTTTCATTTTCTACCAATTGTTCTAAAGATAGCTCAGATTCAACATGGCCATAACAATGGCATGATTCTCTGACCCCTTTTTTTAAAAAAAAAAAAAAAACTTCCTAGTAGGTTGTTTTGCAGTACTTTTCATCCTAGTGAATGATTCTTCTCTCCATCCAGTGACACACACCCAAGGACCTAACTCTTTTTTTTTTTTTTTTTTGGGTCCGGTCGTGGGGCCTGAACTCTGGGCCTGGGCGCTGTCCCTCAGCTCTTCAGCTCAAGGCTAGCACTCTACCACTTGAGCCACAGTGCCACTTCCGGCTTTTTTTCTTTTTGCTTATGTGGTGCTGAGGAATCGAACCCAGGGCCTCATGCATGCAAGGCAAGCGCTCTACCACTGAGCCACCTTCCCAGCCACCCAAGGACCTAACTCTTGATACCTTCCTTGCTCTGTATAACCTAATCCATTACTAAATGCTAGGATTTAACCCAAGTGTTCCCTGTATCTGTTTTTATTTCTAGTCTAAGCTATTGTCATCTTTCCATGATGTACGGTGATAATCTGCTGGTCTGTGTGTATCTATTCTAGCCCCCTACAGAACATTTTCAGTGTGCTGCTCAGTGTACTGTTTTCCACATTAGTTATACAGAGAAGGATTTCATTGTTCAATTTCCACACATTTATAATCTAATTGTTTGCACTTCATTGTAGTTTTTTTTTTTTTTTTTTTGGTACTCAATAAGTGAAATTTTTTCTCTTAAAGCGTTTTGTTTTTGAGACCAGGTTTCACTATGTAGCTTAGGCTGACCTTGATCTTGGTAGGTAACCAGCTGGCCTGGACTTCACTGGTTTTTTGCCTCAGCTTCCTGAGTACCAAGATTACAGGCCTGCTCATTGTAGTATTTTTTTAAATATAAGTTGGAATACATAAAAAAAAGTAAAGACAAGTCAGATACTGCCTTTGGCTGCCCTATCCATCTGTTAATAGACAACCCTTCTAGACCATGTGTTTTTAGATGTTTTTAATTCATCTTTGCTTCTCTGTTATTGATCATATTTTATTCACTTAAATGTCTTATTTTTGATTTTGGCCAAGGAAGACAGTTCATTTTCTATATATTATGTATAAGTATTTTAAGTTATTGTATTTAAAAGTTAAAATATGTAAAAATTCTAGCATTTTTGTACTGTTATATATGTTTTCTTCATCAGTGAATGAATAGTACAAAGGATTAAGTAATAGAATAGATACTACATGAGGTTATTTTATGTATGTTCTTGCTTTTTATTTTCTCTAGGCATGGAGAAAAGGTCAGTCTTAGCTCTAAATGTGCAGAAATTGATCGAGAAATGATCAGTTCACTTGGCGTTTCCAAATCTGTTCTAAATAATGTCATTTTCTGTCACCAAGAAGATTCAAATTGGCCTTTAAGTGAAGGAAAGATGCTGAAGCAGAAGTTTGATGAGATCTTTTCAGCCACTAGGTTTGTAACTTTTTTTGTTGGTTGTGGGGCTTGAATTCTGGGCTTGGCCATAGTCCCTGAGCTCTTCAGCTCAAGGTGAATGTTGTACCACTTGACCCACAGCTCTATTTTCTGGTGATTAGTTGGTGATAAGAGTCTTTCCTGCTTGGCTGCCTTTGAACCGTGATCCTCAGATCTCAGCCTCCTGACTAGCTAGGATTACAGGTGTAAGCCACTGGTGCCAGGCTGGTTTGTAACTTTGTAACTTCCTGACAATACCAGGGTTTGAACTCCTGAATCCTGAACCTGCTTTACTTCCTTGCTCAGAAGGTGCTCTTCAGCTTTAGCCCACAGCTTCACCTCTAAATAAATCTTAATGCCTGGCTATACTATATTTTACTTAGCCAGAAGTTTTATTTCTTATCTTCAAAGGTACATTAAAGCTTTAGATACACTTCGTCAAGTCCGTCAGACACAAGGTCAGAAAGTAAAAGAATGTCAAACAGAATTGAAATATCTGAAACAAAATAAGGAAAAAGCTTGCGAGATTCGTGATCGGATTACTACTAAAGAAGCCCAGTTAGCATCTTCAAAGGAAATTGTCAGGTCGTATGAGAATGATCTTGAACCATTGAAGGTAATTTGATTTATTTCTTTTTTGAGATTGGGATTTGAACTTGGTGTCTGAGGCTTGCTTTTACTCATCGTCTGGCACTGTATGACTTGAGCCACACCTCCCACTCTCATTTCTTTTTATAATCAATAAGTTATAAATATCATATATTTGTGATATACAATATGATATTTTAATGTATATGTACAGTAAAAACTGGTTAAACCAAGTTAATCACCATGTATATTACCATATCTTTTTTTTGTGGTGGGAACACTTAAAATCTATTCGCTTAGCAATTTTTAAATACACAGCAATTGATTCTTGTGCAAATAGCTACTTGGTAAACGAAGGATTTTTTTTTTTTTTTAAACTATAGTGGCATTTACCTCTAAGGTACACAATTGACTATTAATGTATTTAATTTGGTGCTAATGTGGTTTGCTAGACAGGTACTGTGCCAGTTAGGCCATGCCTCTAAGCCTAAAGTACTTTATTTTTATATTAATATATATTTATTTCAAAAGAAATTATCACAAGCTCAGTGCGGGTGGTTAACACCTGTAATCCTAGCTACTCAGGAGGTGGAAATCTAAGGCCAGCATGGGCAGGAAAATCCCTGTGAGACTCTTACCTCCAATTAACCACTCAAAAACTGTCACTGTGGCTCAAAGTGGTAGAGTGCTAGCTATAAGCATAACACCCAAGCCCTGAGTTCAAGGCCTATGACTGACCAAAAAAAAAAAAATTACCACAGACTAATAGATGTAACATCTTTGGTCTATATTAGATGGTGAGTCTTTAAATTACCCAGAGAATCTAGACTTCAAAAAAGATAAGAAAATAGAAGGTAAGCTGTTAGGGAAGAGGAAGAAGGAAAAGATTAAACTTTTTTTTTTTTCCTGCCAGTTCTGGGACCTGAATTCAGAGCCTGGGCACTGTCCCTGAGCTGCTTTTTGCTAGCACTCCACCCCTTGAGCCACAGCATCACTTCCAGCTTTTCTGTATGTGGTACTGAGGAATTGAACCCAAAGCTTTATGCATGCCAGGCAAGCACTCTACCACATTCCCAGCCCAAGATTAAACTTTTTTTTTTGTCAGTTGTGGGGCTTGAACTCTGGGCCTGGGCACTGTTCCTTAGCTCTCCAGCTCAAGGCGAGCACTCTACCACATGAGCTACAGCACCACTTCCCAAGATTAAACTTAATAGTATAGATCATTAGCTGTTGAATAGTAATTACCTAATCTTACAATTCTGGGTTTTTAGGGCATATTGATCATTTCCTCAGTCATTCATTTTTGTGATATTGGGGATTGAAACTAGGACCTCACAAATGTGAGACAAGTGCTCTTACATTGAGCCCTGCCTCCAGCCCTTTCGTTTGTTTTTGACGTGGAGTCTCTCACCAACTTAGCCTGGGCTACTCTCAAGCTCAAGACTTTTCTGCCTTTACCTCCAAAGTAGCTGAGATTACAGGTGTTGTGCTACCATGACTGGCTTCTACCCTCCTAATCCCCCCACCCCACAGTATTTGCCTTGAACTTGAGTCTTGTTTGAGCTCTCATAGCTTTTTTTATTTACCAGTGGCACTCTGCCACTTGAGCCACACTTCCAGTTCTGTTTTTTTGCTGATTATTTTAAAGACAAGAGGTAAGAGCATAACTTTGTTGATCATTAATGAGTACAAGGACAGGAAAATTGGAGTTGTTTTTTGAAGACAGCCAAAGGAATCCATATAGTTCAAATGGAAAATTCATTTAGGAAATGTCAAGTTAGAGCTAAGTGCTAATACATAGTCTGTTTGAATGATGACATGATTCTAGCCAAGGTTGTTGTAAAAGTTGAAGCTTTTGTGTGCTTGTTTGTGACTAATTCTGTGTTTCTTCAGAGCCTAGGCCAGGGCCTAGGGGCCCCATCAGGAGGTAGTAAATACTTAGTTTCTTTCTTTTTTTATTTTGTCAGTCATGGGGCTTGAACTCTGGACCTGAATGCTGTCCCTAAGCAATTCAGCTCAAGGCCAGCGCTCTACCACTTGAGTAACTGCCACTTCTGGTTTTCTGAGTGGTTTATTGGAGATAAAAGTCTTATGGACTTTACTGCCTGGGCTGGCTTTGAATAATGATCCTCAGATCTCTGCCTCCTGAGTAGCTAGGATTACAGGTGTGAACCACCAGTGCCCGGCTAATATTTAGTTTCTTTATTGTAACACTGACTGAACCCAAGTTGCATCTCTCTCTGTACAGGTACTCTGCCACTGAGCTACACCCCCAAACCCAAGTATTTATTAAAAAGATGATTTCCAAAGTTCTTAAGGTCTGTAGGAGAATTCTAGCCTGCATCAATCTCAAAGTTTGCGCCAGATCCCTTGTCTAGCATCTTTCCCCAAAAGACAATTTCATTCCACCTCTTAGGATGCATGCCTTCTATTTACAGATTACTTCCTTGTTTCCACCCTACCACATCCTATTCTTTTATCTTGGCCTCTTTAAACCTGTTTTCCTTTCTTGCCTGAAATGGGACTTGCTAGAAATAACTTGCTTCTAATTTCCTTTTCCACCCACAAGTTCATGGTGCAAAGCTTTGTATGACCTAGTGTTACAGTGTCTCTCACAAAAATTTCTTCTAGAAAGTGTGTTTGAATTCTTACATTAATTATAAAAATTTAATTATATTTAATTATATAATTATATTTGTTTATTTTTTATTTATTTATTTTTTTGTTGGTCATGGGGCTTGAACTCTGGGCCTGAGCGCTGTCCCACAGCTCTTCAGCTCAAGGCGAGCGCTCTACCACTTGAGCTACAGCGCCACTTCCGGTTTTCTGGTGGTTTATTGGAGATAGGAGTCTCACCGTCTTTCCTGCCCGGGCTGGCTTTGAACCACGATCCTCAGATCTCAGCCTCCTGAGTAGCTAGGATTACAGGTGTGAGCCACCAGCGCCCGGCCTATTTGTTTATTTTTATGATGACACCGACATGTGAACTTAGGACCTTTGTGCTTGGTAGGCAGTTCTCTATTACTCTAGCCATGCCTTCAGTCCTTAGTTGATGTCTATGTATGTGTGATGATTCTGGTACTTGAAATTAGGCCTTGCTCTGCTTCTTTCTCTTACTGCTGATGCTCTACCACTTAAGCCACAGTTCCACTTCTAGAGTTGAGAGTCTTCATATTTGTTTACTTGGGCTGGCTTTGAACTGTGAACCTTAGATGTCAGCCTTCAGAGTAGCTCGGTATAAACCACTAGTGTCTAGTCCCTCAGTTTAATATTTGAATGTGATATGAAGTAAGGTTTGAAGTTTACTTTTTTGTACAGTACTCTGAACTTATAATTTTAGTCATCGTACTACATCTTCCAGTCCTTGTTATCATTCTCCTCCTCCTCCTTTTCTCTTCCTCCTATTTTTTTTTCCCCTTCAGGTTCTATTTGTCTTGCTGAGCTTTCATTCTTCCTTCCTCAGCTTCCCTGGGGCTGGAATTAAAGGCAAACATCACATTAGGAAAGCCATCTGCTAATCTTTTTTTTTTTTGCTAGTCCTTAGGGCCTGGGCACTATACCTGAGCATTTGCTTAAGGCTAGCATTGTACCACTTGAGCCACAGCACCGCTTCCAGCTTTTTCTGCTTATTGAGGAATCATACTCGGCTTTGTGCATTCTAGGCAAGCACCCTACCACTAAGCCACATTCCCAGCCCCTCCTAATCTTAAAGTATGGTTTTATAAAAGTCCTTCAGTTTTCCTGCTTAGCATGTAGTCTTGTAAGGATTAGAAAGAATTAGTAGCAGCACCTAGTACAATGTCTAGAATACAATATTTAGTGATACCTATGACTATTACTGGTAAAATTACATTTTTGTTAGTTTTTTTTTTTGTGATAAGCTTGAACTCAGGGCCTGGGCTGTGCCTCTGAGCTCAAACCACAGCTCCATGTCGAGCTTTTTATGGTTAATTGGAGGTCCCACAGACTTTACTGCCCATTCTGGCTTTGAACCCTGATCCTTAGATCTTATAGCCTCCTAAGTATTGGCATTATAGATATGAACTCACCATTTCCAGCCTGAATATATTTGGACTAAAGTATTGCCTTCCATTGCCTACAGATTCAGAATGTATTACTAATTCACTGTGAGTTTCTACCCTGCTCGGAAATTCTGATAGTTTAACTTAGGAGGCTCAGTGGTAGAACACTGGTGGTTTAGGATGCTGTAAGTCCTAAGTTTCATCCCCAGCATTGTAAAAAAACAAAAAGATTAGCCTTTTAAGGAGTAAATTCTTTTTTTTAATTTTTAATTTTATTTTTTATTTTTGGGTCCGGTCGTGGGGCCTGAACTCTGGGCCTGGGCGCTGTCCCTCAGCTCTTCAGTTCAAGGCGAGCGCTCTACCACTTGAGCCACAGCCCCACTTCCAGCTTTTTTTCTTTTTGCTTATGTGATGCTGGGGAATCAAACCCAGGGCCTCATGCATGCAAGGCAAGCGCTCTACTACTGAGCCACCTTCCCAGCTCCCCCCCTTTTTTTTTTAAACTTTTTTTTTTTGTCTTTTTCTTTTTTGGTCCTGGGGATTGAACCCAGGATGTTGCACTTGATAGGCAAGCGCTTTGCCACTGAGCTATATCCCAGTCTGTTTTTCTTTTTTTTAAAGGTCGTCTACAGCTGCAAGCAGATCGCCATCAAGAACACATACGATCTAGAGATTCATTAATTCAGACTTTGGCAACACAGCTAGAACTGGATGGCTTTGAGCGTGGGCCATTCAGTGAACGACAGATTAAAAATTTTCAGAAACTTGTGAGAGAGAGACAAGAAAGGGAAGCAGAAACTGCCAGCCAACTGATGGTAAAGATTTTGAAATAAAAGATTTGCATGTTCTTTGTTTTGTTTTGTTTTTGGCATGTCCTAGGGCCTGAACTTAAGGCCTTGGTTGTCTTCGAGCTTTTTTTGCTCAAGGATAGCAGTGGAGACATACCTCTTCTGACTTTTTTTTTGGTTAATTGGAGATGAGTGTTAGAAACTTTCCTGCCCAGGCTGGCTTCAAACTGCACTACTCCTATCTCAGCCTCCTGAGTAGCTAGTATTATAGGTCAGTCCCTGGCTCTGTTTTTTCCCTTTTTTTTTTTTTTTTGGCCAGTTCTGGGGCTTGAACTCAGGGCCTGGGCGCACTGTCCCTGAATTTCTTTTTCTCAAGGCTAGACCTTAACCACTTGAGCCACAGTGCCACTTCTGGCTTTTATTTTTTCTGTTTATATGGTACTGAGGAATCGAACCCAGGGTTTTATGCATGCTAGGCAAGCACTCTACCACTAAGCCACATTCCCAGCCCCTCCATTTTCTATTTGTCAGATTCTCATGAGTTTCAAAATTTTTGGATGAGTCTACTTTGGCATATTTTTAGATTAATGTTAGGACAGAATCTGCTGTCAGGTAGGGAAAAAACCCTCTATGAAAGCAAATTTTTTTTTCTTTTTTTTTGGTCATGAGGCTTGAACTTAGGGCCTGGGCGCTGTCCCTCAGCTCTTCAGCTCAAGGCAAGCGCTCTACCACTTGAGCTGCAGTGCCACTCCTGGTTTTCTAGTGGTTTATTGGAGATAAGAGTTTCATGAACTTTCCTGCCCAGGCTGGCTTTGAATCGTGATCCTCAGATCTCAGCCTCCTGAGTAGCTAGGATTACAGGAGTGAGCCACCGGCGCCTGGTTTATGAAAGCAAAATTTTAAGTTTATAAGGGTCAAAATATGAATAAAATCTAAAAAATCTATATTTTGTTTTAAATAAAAATTTTTTAAGGTTAATTACAAAGTTTGCTGGCTGTTAGTAATTGTCTCTATTTTTTTTTTTTTTTCTGTCCTCAGGGCCTAGAGCTCTCTAGGAACTCTTACCTCTTGAGTCACGTCCTCAGCAGTTTCTGCTCTAGCTTTATTTCATATAGGGTCTTGTTTTTTGCCTGGGCCAGCCTGGACTGTAATCTTTCTATTTATGCTTCTCACTGAGATGAAAGGTGCATACAACTATATCTGGTTTTTTATTGGTTGAAATGGGGGGGCCTTGTGAACTTCTTGTCAGGGCTGTCCTCAAACTTCTGTTTTCCCAGTCTCAACATGCCCCCCAATTTTATGTGATACTTTTTACATTTAAAAGAAAAAACCCCAAAACTTTTTCCTGTATTTTTTTTCAGCATATGTATGTTACTAATACAATGAGAAACTTTGTTAATAAATTGCTTGGTAAAATATTATTCACATTCTTACATTATGTATTTAGAATGACTTGGCAGAAAAAGAAACTCAGAAGCAAAAACAGATAGATGAAATACGGGATAAGAAAACTGGACTGGGAAGAATAATTGAGCTAAAATCAGAAATCTTAAGCAAGAAGCAAAATGAACTGAAAAATGTAAAGTATGAACTACAGCAGTTGGAAGGATCTTCAGACAGGATTCTTGAACTAGACCAGGAGCTCACAAAAACTGTAAGCTACTTAAGTAATCTAATCTTGAAGTATATGACGTTTAGACTCTGGTATTCTGAAGTATCTTTTTTTTTTTTTGAAGTATCTTAACTATAACTAACCCTAACATTACAGTATCTTGACTGTAAGGTTGACTAAAATGTCAACCTTGTTTGTTATCTCATGTAAAATAATCTTGTCTGAATATTTTAATCATCCATCTCTGGTTCTCAAAACTATGGATTGAAATTTAGAATCATCTCAGAATTTTTTTTTTTCTGCTGGTTGTGGGGCCTGAACTTTGGACCTGGGCACCAACCCTCAGCTCTTCAATTCAAGGCTAGCTCTCTACCACTTGAGCCACAGCCCCACTTCCGGCGTCTGCTTATGCTGTACTGAGGAATCGAACCCAGGGCCTCATGAATGTAAGGCAAGCATTCTACCACTGAGCCACCGTCCCAGCCCCTGAGGAATTGTTTTATATGTGTGTTGCTGATGTTTGAACTCAAGAGCCTCATGCTAAAAGCAGTTGCTGTTAGCACTGAGCTATATCTCCAGTCCCCAGTTCCACCTAAGAAGCTTTTCAAAGATACATGTGCTCATATCTTAAAGCTTCAGACGTCCAAATCAAAATCTCTTGTGCTGTTCCAATCAACAAAACTAGGTGATTATCATGACTATCCTCTAAGAACCACTTCCCTAAGTATAAAAGCAAGTATTTTCCCTTTAGATTCCACAGTGTTGTTTTTTTATGACTATTTTACCTTGTTTCCATTTTTCTGTGGTTAACTTCCTTAGCCAATCTCTTCAAGAATTTACTAGTTGTCTTCCTTCTAATTTGTCTTCTACCTTCACATCTCCATTGCCAAAGTAAGCATCCTAAAGCATGACAGTTTTCTCTTAAATCCCATCTTGATCATTTAAGTAAACATTAGTTTTTCTCACTATTACAACACATTTCTGCCAGTTTAGCATTGTCTCACAATATTGTCTTGTTGGGAGACACCGTCAGGGGGAGCACATCACACTGTTTTTGTAATATCTACATGCGGGAAGTGGGTGTGTTAGATATTTAATAAATACTTAAATGTTGATTGAGAGTAGTCTACTAAAACTTGTTTTTTTCTGATTCTCACTTTTTCTTTTTGACTCTTCTAGGATTACTTACTAGTTATCTTATTATAACCTAGTAAGATAAGGGTAAGAGTTTTCTCTCAAGCATTTTTTTTTTTTTTTTAGTCAGCTGTGGGGTTTGAACTCTGGTCCTGGGCACTGTCCCTGAGCTCTTCAGCTCAAGGCTACACTCTACTACTTGAGCCACAGTGCCATTCCAGTTTTCTGGTGGTTAATTGGAGATGAGAGTCTCAAGGACTTTCCTGCCTTGGCTGGCTCTGAACCTTGATCCTCAGATCTCAGCCTCTTTAGTAGCTAGGATTACAGGCATAAGCCACCAACACCTGGCTCTCTCAAGAATATTTATGTCTTTTCTCTTATTATATACAAGTCATAATATTTTTATTTGAGTAGTAGTTAATTTTGCATATATTTTGTTCTTATTTTAGTTTTGGCTGAGAATATCTAAACCTGCACATTTGTTTGTATTGTTGATTAGGAACGTGAACTAAGCAAGGCTGAGAAAGACAGCAATGTAGAAACCCTAAAAACAGAAGTCATAAGCCTTCAAAATGAGAAGGCAGACCTCGACAGGACCTTGCGTAAACTGGACCAGGAGATGGAGCAGTTAAATCATCATACAACTACTCGCACCCAGATGGAGATGCTGTCCAAAGACAAAGTAGGATTTTCCTTTTGGTTCTAATTATACTGGCTGGCATTTAAAATAGTTTCTATAACGAAGTATTGATTTGGTATTGGCTTTACATTTAGAGGTAAGTGATCTTAATATTCAAGTGACATACAGAGGGGTTTCAGTTATATAAATCAGGCAATGAGTACATATCTTAGGGTTTTTTTTAAGGGTTTTTCCCTCCAGTCCCCACCCACAGTTCATTTTCAACATAGTATCTAGTGAGTACTACTACTGCATTTGTTCACAAAATGTCTTTTCTTTCTTTCTTTCTTTTTTTGTTGGTCATGGGGCTTAAACCCTGAGCCTGGGTGCTGTCCCTCAGCTCTTCAGCTCAAGGCAAGTGCTCTACCACTTGAGCTACAATGCCACTTCCAGTTTTCTGAGTGGTTTATTGGAGATAAGATTCACATGGACTTTCCTGCCTGGGCTGGCTTTGAACCGAAATCCTTAGATCTCAGTCTCCTGAGTAGCTAGGATTACAGGCGTGAGCCACCAGCCCTTGGCTTTTTTTTTTAAGGTATGCTCACTGTGTTATTTAAGGTAGTCTAATTCCATATTCAAGTGATCCTCTGTCCCAGTCTTTTTGATCTTCTGTCCCAGTCTTTCTAGTAGCTGAGATTATAGGGATATACCCAATGCCTGGTAAAACTTTACCTTTTTTAATCTCCCATATTAGGGTTTGAATTCAGGGTTTCATATTCATTAGGTTTGCTTGCTGTATGCCACTTGAGCAATATTTGAGTTTTTTGCTGGTTATTTTGCAGATGGAGTCTTTTCTGCTTGGGCTGGCTTCTGGTCTGGATTTCAACCTCCCAAATAGCTAAGATTGCTAGAGTCACTAGAGCCCAGCAAAACTTTTTTTTTTTTTCCCCAGTCCTGGGCTTGAACTCCTGGGCACTGTCCCTGAGCTTCATTTGTTCAAGGCTAGCACTACTTTACCACTTGAACCACAGCACCATTTCTGGCTTTTTCTTGTATGTGGCAATGAGGAATCGAACCCAGGGCTTCATGCATGCTAGGCAAGCACTCTGCCACTAAGCCACATTCCCAGCCCCAAAACTTACTTTTTAATTACAAAAAGTTATTTATAGAGAAATACAAAAACATAACATGTATGAATATTATTGTTAATTTTTTTTTTTCTTCATCAGATTTTGAACTCAGTCTCAAGCTTGCTATGCAGGCAGGCGCTCTATTGCTGAGCCATGCTCCAGCCTTTTTTGCATTGTTTATTTTAAGATAAAGTCTCATTTACAGCCTGGCGCCGGTGGCTCACGCCTGTAATCCTAGCTACTCAGGAGGCTGAGATCTGAGGATCACGGTTCAAAGCCATCCCGGGCAGGACAGACCGTGAGACTCCTATCTCCAATAAATCACTAGAAAACCGGAAGTAGCACTGTAGCTCAAGTGGTAGAGTGCTGGCCTTGAGCTGAAGAGCTGAGGGACAGCGCCCAGGCCCAGAGTTCAGGCACCACAACCAGACGACCCCCTCCCCCCCCCAAAAAAAAAAAAAGAGTCTCATGGGGATTTTTCTGCCAAGGCTGGCTTTAAACCGTGATCCTCAGATTTCAGCCTCTTGAGTATCTAGGATTACAGGTATGAGCCACTGGTGGGTTTGAACTCAGGGCCTAGGTGCTGTTCCTCAGCTTTTCAGCTCAAGGCTAGTGCTCTACCACTTGAGCCACAGTGCCACTTCCAATTTTCTGGTGGTTTATTGGAGATCAGAGTTTCAAGGACTTTCCTACCCAGGCTGGTTTTGAACCATGATCCTCAGATCTCAGCCTCCTGAGTAGCTAGGATTACAGGCATGAGCCACCAGCTCCTGGCTTGCTTTAACTTTTTTTTTTTTTAATTTTTTTATTGTAAAGATACTATACAGAGAGTTACAGTTACATGAGTGAGGTAATGAGTACACTTCCTCTTGAACATTGTTACCCCCTCCATTGTTTTCCCCCTACCATCCCCTCCCTCCCTCCCTTCCC